ACTATAAATAGAGCATGTACTGCGACCTTTTCTTTGCAAGCCTCTCGCTCCTGCTTCTTGCTGTGTCACGTTAATTGCGCGGACAAACGATAGTGTCATTTCATTTCAATTACTCAATTTGACGTAGGCACGTTTTTGTTGGATGTAATTTTCAAAAGCCGGCGATTGGTCATGGGGATCGAGATAACCATGGTTAAGTTGCAAATTCGGCCTCCTTTTGTTCTCGAGATATCAGGGTTCTGTGACATAAAAGAATCGACATATCCGAGGAGAAAATGCTAAGTTCAAATAGAGAATTTGGCGGTTCCACTTTAAAAAGTCGAAATAACAGGGTTGGCGAGTTAACCGAGGTCGAGATAAGCGGGTTCTGCTGTAATATAAAACGTAATAAATAACTAATGAACAAGTTTCTTTTAATGAAGTGTCATCCTTCCTAGTCCCAGAGCAAAGTCTGCCGTCAGCTTTGAAACGCCTGAACATGCTGAAGACCAACAAGGACTTCATGATAGTCACGTGACAGTTCTGTCGTCCTCAGAGAAGCTTAATGACACAGGTCAGTAGACACTGCCTTATTTGTTCAATTAAAGGACAGAGTTCAGTAGTCACTGCCTTATTCGTTCAATTAAAGGACAGAGTTCAGTGGTCACAGCCTTTTTTTTTTTTTTTTTTTTTTTTTTGCTGGCATCCGTCCGTCACAATGTGACAATGGAGTGAGCTTCGGAGGACGAAATCCACATGGCCTGGGATTATTCTTCAAGGATTATAAGCTGATTCCCAACAGCAAATTGCCTCTCTCCACGCCGCTGGATAACCCAAGGGAACATCATCGGATGATGCAGCTTGGCACCAGTGACGTCGCAGGAGTTGTCGGAATGTTTCATTGTACCAATGTTATCCGCCTTTCGGGACTCCAGCTCCGGGTTTGATATCAAAGTTTCCTTCTCTTAGATGAGTTTCCATCCAAGGTTAACGAGTCCCATCCATCGGGGTGCTGGTGGTGTTATTGCTTGACTGGGCTCTGGCTGGAATTGAACTCCAGACCACCAACTTGCTCAGTTTAGACCACTTGGCCACCCAGCACCAATTTGTTCAATTAAAGGACAGAGGTCAGTAGTCACAGCCTTATTTGTTCAATTAATGGACAGAGGTCAGTAGTCACGGCCTTATTTGTTCAATTAAAGGACAGAGGTTAGTAGTCACGGCCTTATTCATTCAATTAAAGGACAGAGGTCAGTAGTCACGGCCTTATTTGTTCGATTGTTTATGACAGATGTCTACAGAAAAAAATTGCGGGACTGAAGAAATATTTATATCCAGTGGCTAGGCAAATGGACGCGGAGGGGGCAGAAAATTCAGGGTGGCATTTTTTCTCTCCAATATATTCAAAGGCGTCATTTTTGGTCAACTGCAGATTATTTTCGTGAAGGGGTGGCACAAATCTTGGCCCGTCATGGATTACACTAACCCTAGCTCCGCCCCTTGTTAAAAAACAAACTTGCCAATTTTTTTCTGGATATTTTCTTTTTCGGTTTGGTGGACAATCGGAGGAGGGATAAGAAAAGGGGGGGGGGGCGGGGGCTGGAAGACAAACACAAAAAATAAGGAGTGGGGGTTCATTTAATACTCCAGTTTTGAGAGTATCGCCTCGTCGCATCTATCTGCCTCACTTCGCGTCTGCAGTTTACGTGAATGTCTTGATCGTCTAGTGTCACAGCTGCCCTCGGGAAGGGATGCACGGATCTTTCTTGGAACTACATTATGGATGTATTTTTCATGACAATATTTAACGGAATGGAACAATTGCTACATGTTACGTCATATTTTTGAGCCGCATAACGCCAGCAGGTTTCCGATGACCAAGCTCAGTTATCTTTAGCTAATGCAAAATCATCTCCCCTGGGGATCCCCAAGTTTCCTATGCATTGAAGGTTGTAGGGTGATGTGAACAGATATTGCACGTCACATTATATTTGACCTACTTTCAGAACGACTCAGCCCGGAAATGACGAGAGCAGAGCTGTCTTTCCAAGGGTAAGAAAAACAAACCATCGGTAAATTACTGGAGATCAGGGATTCTCAAACTTTTTTTTAGAACTGTGGATTATTTAAACAGAAGTATAATTGTTCCCCTTCTTTTTTTAAAATATTAACTTAGACCTAAATGTTGTTTAAGGGTAAAATTAATATTTTACAATAACGTCAAACTTTGCTTTCAATGGTATGTATTATTTTGACAAACTATGGTGTGCTTTCTCTTTTTTTAAATTATTTTTTTTTAAAATTAAGTTTAAAAACATTTAAATTTCTGACAACATTTGTTATATTTTCTCATATATATTTATGTTAATACAGTCAACAGACACCATGTGAGTATCACGTGGATGAGAAGCCGCCAAGGTCGTGTGGGGTCATCTCTAACAATTCATTTGATGAAAGTAGCAGCCCTTCCGAGTATGACGTCAGTTTCAGAGTAACATAAACCTGGTTGTGTTAAATTTTGTGCGGCACACCCCAGATCTAGTCAAGAATTCCGCGCCCCACCGCAAGTAAAAAAAAAAATGCAATAATTTACTAAGAACACACTGTAGCTAACAATAATAATGGCGTGTAATACTAAATGGCATACGACTACACTGTATTGCTCCATATATACTGTCTGTGTTGGATACATATCTGTTATAGCAGATTTTGACAGCTTGTTAATAGCTCAACCAATGTCCGCTTTTGTTGTAAAATAGTTTTAGTATATTCACCTGCCTCCATGATGACATGAATGTGCTTTGTTCTCCTCTTGGCGGCATGTTACGCTGCACACCTAGCATCATCTTGAGGCACACCAATGTGTCACGACCCCCCCCCCCCGGGCATCATCTCGCGGCACATCAGTTGCAGAGCTCTGGTATAGATTATAGGCTATAGACCAATAGTCGTTCTTCAACCAATGGATACTTCGCTTGCTTGTCTTGAAAACTAATGATATGTATAGATTTTAACAAACCAAACAAAACATATGATGCAATGAGAGATTTTGTTCAATGGCCAGACG